GGAAGATCTCAGCCCCTCCTAAGAAGTGGAGGAAAAAGAGCTGGGCCATACAAGCTCTGTAGGAGATAGCCTTGCGTTGGGAAAAGAAGTCGACAAGCATCCTTGGTGGGGTGATGGAGCAGTAGCAGATGTCCAGGAAGGCCAGGTTGGCTAGGAAGAAATACATGGGGGAGCCCAGGCGGCGGTCCCTTTGGATAGTGAGGATGATGAGGATGTTAGCTGGGAGAACCAGTGAGTAGAAGATAAGAAACAAGATAAAGAGCAAAAATTGGACTTCTTGGGTCTGTGCTAGTCCCAGCAGCACAAACTCCACCACTTCTGTGCCATTCCCCTGCTCCATCCCATCAGCGTGGAGTCCTATAACACACACAGGGGTCGGTGATATTTATTATTCGTTGTCATAAGCAAGTGGCAGGGGGCAGCTTCATCTAGTCTGTATTTCCTTAGCTTGCTAATGAGGATGTCAGGCGAGGCAGTGTCAAAAGACTTGCTAAAGTTACGGTTTACCACATCCACTGCTCTCCCCTCATCCACCGAGCCTGTCACTTTATCACAGAAGGAAATCAGGTTGGTCATGCATAACTGACTTACTTTTGGTCAATCCATGCTGACTGATCCGTATCTCCCTATTCTCCCCTAGGCATTTCACCTGCTTCATGGTCCTTCTGGGTACAGAGCTCAGGCTGAGTGGTTTGTAGCTCCCCAGATCCTCCTCCTTCCCCCATATAAAGATGGGCGCTATATTTGCCCTTTTCCAGTTATCTGGGACCTCAGTCTCCCCACCTGGGACCCCAATCTCCATGAGTTCTCAAAAGGAATAGCCAATGGCTCCTAAATTACCCCAACCCATTCCTTCAGTATCCTCAGGCGTATCCCATCCAGCCCGGCCAACTTGAAAGCATCCAGATCCTCTAAGTGATCCCTAACTTGGGATGCCATGACTTCTCTATCTCTGCCGCCAACAGAAGGGAGGGTTTGGTCATCCCAACCTTCATCTTCAGTGGGGAAAGCCAAAATACATCCCGGTCCCTAACAATCTTAGTAAGGGGTGAAAGGAAAATGGGTAGCAAGATAATAGCTCTTATTATCAGTGCCCCCAGTTCAGGGATGACTCAGTTAGGGCATCCCGGGCTAGTCTCAGCCTGTGGAGCTATCAATCAAATGAGATGCGAATGCATGCAACCCACTCAGTCAACTTATGTCTGACGTATTAAACAGTTATGTAAAAGAACGCCCAATGCTTCACCACAGCAGATTTTTTTTTTCCCCAGAATAAGAATATATATTTGCGTAACTAAAATATAAAATAATCCTTGGTATATAGCACTTTGAGCTCGATTCTTTTTTTTTTCTGTGAATATACATGTCTTTTATAAGCAGAGCACGATAGTCGAGAGAAAGAAAGAGAGAAAAAGGATTGGAAAATGTGGAGAGAGAGAGAAAGAAAAGAAGCGATGGGTGGAGACTCACTCTGCATTGCCTTCAGTGGAGCGATTGACCTCAGGACACTCTCCTCTTCATCCTGCTTCCCGGCTGGTCCCAGCGATCTCCTTTCTGCCCAGCATGGCTAGCTCTGGAGACGCTGCTCCTGTGGCTGGCAGGGATGGGCTCTGACCCAGCAGAGCACAGCTGCAAATTAGCACCAGGGGGCTTATTAGTGAGCGAGCACAAGCGTATAAAGCCATGACCATAACGCCCCTGGGAGGAGTGCGCTGGGGGAACAGTGATCTTAGGTACCCGAGACCAGGAGGAGGAGGGCTGGGGGAACAGGTCGCTGGGGCTCCAGCCAAGACAAGGCTCCCCGAGCAGGGAGTGCTGTGGAAACCCCTCTCCAGGGGTCTGGGAAAGAAAATACTTCAGGCAGGTTTCACAGTTTCATAGTTGTTTGGGCTTGGAAGGGACCTTACAGATCATTGGGTCCAGCCCCCCTGCATTTGGGCAGGGAAGACTGCTAGTGTTTCAGTTTGTGCTTCAGCTTGGGCATTGCCCCATTTAAGTTTAAAGAATTTGTGCCGGAAAAATGATCCAAAATGGCTCCATAATATACTTAAGGTCCCTACAGCATCAGTGGGTGCATTTACACGTGCCATTAAGGCAACATGATAAACCCCGGCACAGTTCGTGCTGGGATCAGCTGCTCTTGGGTGCAGCATCTTCATGTGCCCTGGGACCACTGCAGTTTGTGTTGGGATGGATCAATCCCAGGCTGGCAGCAGGCCTTGGGGCTCAGCTTCAGGCTCTGGGTGGTGGCATTGGGCAGCAAAGGGGCTGGCAGAAGCAGAGGATGTGGCCCCTGGCTGGCTGGGCTGACCAGGCACAATTAACATGCCCTATCACTGTCTACATGTACTTTTAGGTGCAGTTATTTTCACTGCCATAAGATAGTACTATCCCTGACAGTGCTATCTTATGCAGCAAAAATTAATTTGCTGCAGCCTAATAACATTGCATGTGTAGGCTGTGATGCTTTACATTGCAGCAAATTAATCTACTGCACAGTTAAGCACAAGTGTAGATGCACCTGCTGTAGAGGTGCAATGCTGTAGATTCATAGACTCATAGATGTTAGGGTCGGAAGGGACCTCAATAGATCATCGAGTCCGACCCCCTGCATAAGCA